CTAAGAACCCCAACCCCTCCGGTCCTGGCACCAATGAAGGCAAATGGTTAACGTTTTCACCACAGAGAACTTACTAATGTAGACAACAGACCAACTCAAAATGATGCACGCCAGTCCCTTTTCACCCCTCCAAGAACTGCATTGCGAGATGTTTATGTTGGTCTATTTTAAGCTCCTGCGCTTTCCTGAAATATTTGTTAACCGTAGGTTTGGGTTTTAATAGAAATATTTGAGACCGAACTATGAATGGTGAATTCCCCGTGTGGGTTGTGGGGTCCAGTTGGCTGGGGCAGGCGGAGGGGGTGGTGGTCGGAATATCTGCTGCCTGCTGACAAGCATGTTGTTAAAAAACGACTAATCATGGATTTGCGGAAAGAAAGAAAGAAAAACTGTGAATGCCGAAGGAGAAGAATGTTGCAACGATGAGTAATTAGGCTTGAAAGAAAATAAAGCAATGTAGTTGGAAAGAAAACTCAGGAAAAAGGGAAAAAACATTGAGGAAAGTATGTGGAAGGGGAAGAGATAGCAGAAGAATTTGAGATAGTTAACGTCGGGGAAAATTTAGAAGTTAAATATACCAGAAAAAGGGGGGGGGGGTGGGGGGGGGGTGAACAGAGCCTATGGCTGTTGCTTTGCGTTCTTATTTTCTAGTTAAGCATAACTTATTTGCTGGGTTCTTTTCTTTTAATTCAATTCCTCTCGGGGACTCCGAGATTTCATGGTGAGTTCCCGGGAAAGTTCGGTAGTTAGGGGTATTGGGGTAGGAAATAAACACATACTCACTAACCCTACCCCACCCTCTCCATAATTTTGGACTTTCCCGGAAACTCCCTACGAAATTTCGGAGTCCCCAAGATGTGGTCAACTAAAAGAAAAGTACATACTGCTTATTGTAGTTCTGGTAATTAGGCACTTATTTTTTTTCTTCTGAATATCAGTGTGTTTTTAAATAATACACAAGGGTATAACTAGAGCTTGAACTCAGTAGAACTGACATGAATTCAAACGTGCACACACTAGAATCACACACACACACACACACACACACACGCACACGCACACGCACACGCACGTGCACGCGCGCGCACACACACACACACACGCACGCACGCACGCGCACGCGCACGCACGCACGCACGCACGCACGCACACACACACACACACACAGGCTTTAAAAAAATAAATTGTTGGATGCTCTTCTCATTTATAAATTTCGCCTGTGACAGCGGTTTAAGTTCACCTGCTCGTCTTGATTTCCGACTGCTGGGGGCATTTTAAACTATCTATTCGTGCGCACGGGTCCACTGAGTATCTTGTACAGTCAGAAAGTCCCCTGTCAGATTCATGGATCTTTTCCTTTAATTCAACCCATCTTGTGGACTCCAAGATTTCACGGGGAGTTCCAGGGAAAGTCCAATAGAATTGAAGTGTTACGGTGTGAAATTACCTACTAAAACTAACCCTACCCCCCCCCCCCCCCACCCCTCCCAGTAAAAATGGACTTTCCCGGGATCTTCCCACGACGTTTAGCTGAGTTCACCCGAGATGTGGTGAACTAAAAAAAAGTACCAGATTCACTATTTCTAGAACTGGAAGTCACAGGAAAAAAAGGGGAAAGGGTGGGGGGGGGGGGTGGGGAGAGAGAGAGAGAGAGTGGGGAGCGGATGAATATTTGTTTTGTGTGTAAACACCTGCCCCGTCAATACCATGAATGGAACTAGGTCTGTACGATCCAGAGGCCGGATATCGGAACATTTAAGCCATCATCTATAAAAGTGCTGCTACAAACCCTCCTCCAGTCCCTCTCATTCTACCCTCCACCTTTCTCCTTCTCTATTACTTCACTATGATGATGACTCGTTCTAACAGCAGCAAGAGTCTGCCATGGCTGGGAATTTTCCAACAAGATAAACCAACCTCGACCTATGAAGGTAAGTTGATAACCCCGCCCTAAGCCAAGAAGCCGGCTAGACTGGCGCTTGACAACTGATAAGGAATACAAGAAAAGATTTATAGTAGGGGGGGGGGCGGCGGGGAGAGACAGACAGACACCTACACAGAGAGAGAGAGAGAGAGAGAGAGAGAGAGAGAGACAGAGAGAGACAGACAGACAGACAGACAGAGAGAGAGAGAGGGAGAGAGAGAGAGAGAGAGAGAGAGAGGGAGAGAGAGATGCGACCTAAAGATGTTAAGGAAGAACGAATAAATGAACAGCGAAAGTTTTTTTGTTACTGATGATCTACAAGCTAATGTAAAATGAAAAACCAAAGATTTGGATTAAGTAATTTCAAGAATGGTGGATTCTATTGTTAATTTGAAAAAAAACCAGTTCAACTCTAAAATTGCTTTCTGAGAGATTAGCACCTATTGACTGAAAGAGACATGATTCGGATGTTATTTGTGCCGGAAACCACAGTCAGCTGTATAACAGTTATATCAGGGCACCAGATGGCAAAGACAAAATCAGGAATCCACTGTTAGAGGATTGGGTATGTCTTATCCCCTAACCTGAAGAAACACGGAACGAATCACTGTGTCAATTTTTACTAAAGTAATGACCTCAAAGTACAACCACTCCAACTACTTATTTCCTGAGGTAGTGGATCGGACGTCCATCCTTCTCGAAAAATTCAGCAGAACCCACTGTAAATTCTTCTTTGTTCACCTTATCTGCCCTGTATCACCCCCTCTCCCCGCCACCCCAACCCTAACATTTGGTATAGACCCTCACGTAAACCACGCCAAGAAGTTCTATCATTTTCTATCACATGCAGCTCGCCCCGTGTCCTCTCCATCTAGTTAAATTCACTCTCTAGTTTCATTTTCAGTGTGTGTGTGTGTGGTTTTAACCCCCCCCCCCCAATGTCTTTGTACCTGTGGGTTCCATTGCAAAGCCCTACTAGTTATTTTGTTCTATTACTATTTCTCAATGTGTATCCTATCCGATGCCATCGTCTTATCATCAGCTCTTGATTTACAGCCAGTGATTAACTGGTTCGGCACCAGCAACGTATAGCAGAGACTTGCAGAAATGTGTGACCAGGCTGTGAGAATTATCAAGAGAAATCTGTAGATGTTCAGCTGTAAACAAAATAGCCGAAATACAATGACTCAGTTGTGGACCACAAAAGCGCACACAATGGCTCGGCTGTAGACCGTATGGAGGAAATAGAATAGTTCAACTGTGGACCACGCAGGCTCAAACAATAGCTTAGCTTGTAGAGCGGTGACGTGAATACAATGGTTTGTCTATAAACTGTACTAATATGTTCTACTACGTATTTATGAAAAAGTAGGGGCGGGGACGGTGTGGGGGGGGGGGGGCATTACAGGATTAATTGTATAATTATCTAACCAGAAAACAGGTCTACGTTTGAACTAGTCATATATTAAACTGTACTAGTTATATGTTTGATTTTAAAAATCATATGTTGAATTGAACTAGTTATATGTTAAATTGTAATAGTTATCTGTTAAATTGTACTAGTTCTCTGTTAAACTGTATTAGTCATCTGTTAAACAGTACTAGTTATCTGTTAAATTTTGGTTATATCAAGCGCCACGATGGATTTGAAAAAAATTATAGCAGAAGGCATGGTACCAGGAAGGAGGGGCAGGGGCCGACCGACACGAAGATGGGCACAGGATATAAGTGACTCCTTGAGTATGAAAGTACATGAGGCGGGAGAACTGACGAGAGACCGAGTTTCTTTCAGGCAGACCGTGATGAGAGCGACGTTCTGCAAAGGACCTGCTACATGATGATGATGATACATATTCCTCAACCAGCCATTGCATGCATGGCGAGTGTCAGCTAAGTACAGCTAAGTACAGCTAAGTACAGTTAAGTACAGCTAAGTACAGCTAAGTACAGCTAAGTTCAGCCAAGTACAGCTAAGTACAGCTAAGTGCAGCTAAGTACAGCTAAGTACAGCTAAGACAGTTTCTTGAGGTCTTCTCAATGATGTTCTAGTCGGAGTTTGCAAGTTTGGATATTCGTAATAAAGCATGCTTATTGATGCTCATTGAGTCTGTCACTAACATTACGTGAGATACTTTCTTTCCGTCAGCCCTGCAAGTACCCCTGTGCTGGCTGCTATCTCCTTCGCTTTACTAGAGGTAGTTGAACTGAATGCCTGACTTTCTTTTTATACTGTCTTTTCATTCATCTGCGCCTTGTATGCCCACCTAGACTGCACTCCGCGAGTCAGAGAGCAATCTGTACCGACCAGTGTTCTATTGAATTAGGGCCCTTATTTCAGCGGCTGTTTGGGTCCATTCTCTGCAATACCCGCCTATATTTTTAACGGTAAGAGAAAAAGAAGCAGAAGAAGGAGGGAAGGAGGAGCAGAAGAAGGAGGGAAGGAGGAGCAGAAGAATGAGAAGAAGCAAAAGATGATGATTATAATTTCATTTATCTCAGTGTTCACAATCTTCACTAACCGACGTAAAAATATAAAGTTTTTAAAAGTTTAGGTAAGCTTTATTTAGTTAATAGAAACTGTCTGAGCTTAACGGCACGATAAATAATGAAGACGCTATTACCTTTGAAGGAAACACCCATAATAAGTATCCTCTTACGACATGCTTATATAAGAGGGCAGTGGGTCAATTCTACCCCCTTCCCTCCACACACACACACACACACACACACGCACACACACATATATACACACAGAATAGGACCCTGGAATCCACTCCAAAAAGGGCGGTTGTTTTACCTTTTACACTTCATAAAACAAGCTAAAGCTATCTTGAGTAACATATCCCCGCCTCACTCTTCCCCACCGACCAACGCCCAACAGCAGATGTAGATCACAAGTCATCGTTCAAATGGCGAAGGAATCTACCCGAGGTAATAAATAACAGAGGACGAAAGGTCATTTAGTCCCCTATGTTTAAGAAGTCTATTCACACACTGTAAATACTATTAGAATAATGTTCTATAATATTAATTGAATACTGGTATTAAACCGTGAATTTTAGTAACAATGTCTTACCTTTGGAGGCATTTCTTAAACAGCCACACAGTTAGGAAGAGACAGCAATGCCGACAAACTCAGCAGAAATTGGCGCTTTAAAAAACGCTACAGAAATATATACGAACAACCAGAGAGTGCTAGATTTAAATGAAACGTGGAAGGAAGAGGAAATGGGAAATGTTCCTGATAAAATGGAAGCGGGGTACGAGAATGTTCTGTTGAAAACAACACTTGTGCCAAGTTTGCTCCATTGGAAAGGGAGAGAGAGAAGGGGGGGGGGGGGGGGGGAATTGTGTGGGTGTTCCAAAACGTGAACTGATCTCAGTGATGGCGTTTTGGCAGACGATCAACTTATGTTGACTGGGGAAAGTTTGGAGCTAGATTGTCTACGTCACACTCAGGAGAAAATGAGGTGCTTTTGATTTTTACTAGCATTTCTGGTTACAGTATCAACAGATGGCTGGGTTGGGGAGTGTGGTGGTGGTGGTGGGGGGGGGGGGGGCGATAGACATTTACCTTCTTCACACAGAACTTATAAAGTAAGCAGAATGTGTGAAACTTCTAGAAAAATAAACAGTTATAAAGGTATATGACGCGATTGTTAAAGCGTATCACACGGAGAATAGCTGTTGAAAGGGAATTATCTGAATAGAATTACTATGTTACCCATTGCATTTGCATACTGTGATAGACAGTAGATCAAATGGTTTGGCCATATAACAAGACTGGCATCAGACAGGGCCCCAGAGAGATCAATGTTATACAGATGCAGCCGAAGCATACCTAGAGGTCGACTGCCAGATAATGGACCGCAGAAATATCGGTTACACTGAAAAGTATTTTGTTCACGAAGCGAGCACGAGGGCCTTTATAGAGATCTCCTCCCGCCTTAACGCTGCAATGCATTCCAGAAGTAGGTAGGTAGATTGTTGTACCCCACCACGACATCACAAAAGCGATAAACCCCAGGTGACACAAACTGCCACCATGCGGATGATAATCACCCTTGGAGAGGTCCCAGAAACCCCTTTCAGCCGTTTGGCCATATCAATACCCGGCTTTATTCAGGGGACCCGGTGGGGGGTTCAGGGTGGGGATGACTTTGTTAGTATTTAAGTACAAAGCATTCCATGAGTCTAGAAAAGAAGAAGAAGGCCGTGATATCGGTATAAAAAACGATAGTAATCCAAATAACTAATAAACAATACTAAGCGGGTTGGCTTGCAGTAAAAGATAAATGGTATATACAATACTGAGCGGGTTGGCCTGCAGTGAAATATAAATGGTATAAACAATACTGAGCGGGTTGGCTTGCAGTGAAATATAAATGGTATAAACAATACTGAGCGGGTTGGCTTGCAGTGAAAGATAAATGCTATAAACAACACTGAGCCGGTTGGCTTGCAGTGAAAGATAAATGCTATAAACAACACTAAGCGGGCTGGCTTGCAGTGAGAGATAAATGGCAGAAAAAAAGGAGGGGGGGGGGGATGAGGAAAGGAGGAAGATGATAAAAACATTACTGACAGAGAAAATTAACCGGTACTTAAGTAGTTATGTAGCGTAATACGGGCCGTATTTGGGAAATCGATCCCTCTTTATCCTTAGTAAAAGATGGCGGCCATAAGTGATTAGTTTTTCCAAAAGGGTTAACCCTCCCTTCTTTGTCCTTAGTAAATATCGATCTGTAACCCTCCCTCTTTATCCTTATTAAATATCGATCGGGAGGGTGATGATGGTACAAGTGATTGGTTTTAGGGGAAAGGTATATAAATCGATACTTTGTCTCTCCCTGAGTATTTTCTTCGGGGGAAAGGGCAGGGCCAGCTGTTTGATAAACGGGGCAGGCGGGGCAGAGGACCCGGGGCGACAGGGTGACTAATAGAGTTGGTGCGGGCTTATGGGTTCTGTAATTTACAAAATTAGAAGTGGTTTGTTAGCGGGGGATATATATATATGTTACAAAACGAAATAATTTAGGGGATATGAAAATAGACATAGGCGGCATAAATCGATATGTTGTCTCCATAGCAACTGGTGACACATTGTTGGTGAAGAATGTCACAGCCATAACCCTTAGCACCGCCAAACTTCATTTAGCCTTCATTATCACGTGGTTCACATGCTCAAGAAAAGCAAGACTACGGTCAAAACACACTCCTATACACTTCACTGAACGAGTTTTCTCCCTGATCTCCAAACACAGACACACAGTTGGTGTTGGTGTGTTTATAATATGTTTATCCAGCAAAAACCATGTCACGGTTGACTTTGACACATTCATGACCGCTCAGGCTTCATCGCACCACCTGCTTATGCGATCAAGTTCTGTCTGAAGGCTCTTGGCAACTTACTTCCAATCTCTACAGACCAGAATGCGAAGGGTCCTTCCCGGTGTTAAAAATGTTGGAAAGTATCGGTGACAAAGATTAACCTTGCGGCAGACCGGAGTGTGTGGTTACTGGTTCAGATGCCCAACTACGGCATGTAAGCACCACCTTTTACTCGAAGAGAGCCGATGAGATTCAATTTTACTCAAAATAGCTTATATATATATATATATATATATATATATAATATATATATATATATATATATATATATATACCTGACACTCAGGTTCTGAAACAGGACTGCAGTCCAGAAGTATATATATATATATATATATATATTATATATATATATATATATATATATATATATATATATATAATATATATATATATATAATTAATTTAAAAGATGATATCGCATCAACCAATTTATTCTAAATGATCACATGTGGCCCAAATTTTCATAATAGTATGTTCTAGGGCCTGAAATATAATTTTTGATTTTTCTGAAAAGTTTTTGCGTGAATTAATTTAAAATTTGTGTATTCCAAAAAGTTAGTAATTCGCCTTAGTAAAAAAACCTTGTATGTATTTAATTTATCCTAGTTCAGGTCAAGCAAAACAAGTCCAAAACTATTTATGACAAATTTCAGTACAATTTTACTCTAATTTTTAAAAATATTTGGACAATTCATGGCGCCCAATTCCTATTTGAAGAAGTTTGCGGGAAACGTTAAAACGCTTTTTTCCCCTTAATTGTACCTACCAAAGACCTGCTAATGCCCCCATGAAAGTATATATCTCGTTATTTGCTTTCTGTGAAAGCTTTTCTTCATTGCTCTCTGCCTTTTTCTTCTTTTATGGGTTTCTTTGCAGGCTTTAACTTCAGACTAAGTTATACAGTTTATATGCCCGGGTCCCTATCGTAGTTGGCTAAACCGGATTGCGCGGTGACCGGGTGACGAACTCCTTGTGGTCCGGGTTCACTCCCGGGGGTAGGCAGAAAAGCCACATTTCTCTCAGATTTACGGTATTTACAATGGAATCAAGGCCTAAAGGTTGCGATATCCATAATACCGAGCCTAAGGGTTAACAACTCATGGTTTCTGGATACTAAAACAAACAAACAATGCAGTCTATATCATTTGTGTGTTGTTGCACATTTTCTCTGTTAAAATATCCACCAGGCTTTCCAAGGTGATAATTTTATAATTGAATGACGAATCATCATTACAAAATGCTACAGCACGAAAAACAGCCTTTTCCGCTGTTTTCAACAAAATGTTTCCTGGCCCACAATGACTGCTTCTATCTGTGCTGTCAAAGTGTTGATTTTTGAGAACTCGCTAGCCCTAAAAGACTGTTTTCAAAGCATGAAAACCCGTGTGGGTTTCAGGTGGGGGGGTATGGGGGGGGGGGGGGTCGGATTTTTGGATTGGGGTGGGGGGGGGGAGGGGGTGGGGAGTATAACAGACAAGTTGTAAACTTCATCTTCTTCGTTCGTTCGCTTGAAACAGATTATCTAAATCTGCAGGGCTGTCTCTAGAATGAACTTCACTGCCGGTTGTAATTCACTCCGCAACCCGTAAAGATTTGTTTGTACCGAGGTTTCTCTTGGCCAAAAGTTTTGCCTTGGTATGTTGTATTTGTGACAGTCTTGGAGGACGTTGCCTCAGGTGCCAAACCACACGTACACATAGCTGATTCGCCAATCTTAAATTGTGTATACATGTTGCCGCGAAGTCGACAGTGTCCTGTTTTAAGGCGCAGAATAAGGCCTTGCTCTGGTCTGTCCATAACATGATAATCGTCTTGTATTGTAAACTAATTAAGAACATACTGAAACCGGAAGTGGTATGCTAAAAGGCGCAGATATCGCAGCTAGCTGTAAACAGCAACACAACGCACCAGCCGCTCATTTAAGGGCGAAAGGAACAGAATATAACAAAACACCAATATCTAATATGTTAGCTTACCGTTAACGGCATTCTGCAGTACTTCAAGCTCAGCAAATACCGACGGACACCTGGCGCACAAACACATACAAGAATGCGTGAATGGAGTCTAGTGAGTAGAAGTTAAAACGGGCCAATAAAAGTATGAACTGGTGTCAGTATAGTATTCTGACCTTTGACTTATCGTTTTTTTCCCCTTCTGTTGGAAGAGTCTATTATGTTATAGAGAGGAGCTTGTGATAGTTTATCTTAGTTAGTGGTTTATTTTACTGTATTGATTCCTAGGCCTCATCGTGTGGGTTCCGAGGCCCTATAATAGGGAAAACAAGAATAGACTCACTGCCTACCCAAAAGCATGTCGTAAGAGTCGACCAATTGGGAGATCCGTTTAAAGTCGGAATGCATCTGCCTGAGAGGCAAAGAAGTAACAATCTGCACTTAAATAAATAAGAACTGACAAACGGATGCACACGCAACACTCAGGTTCTGAAACAGGACTGCAGTCCAGAAGTGGACAAACAACAAGAATTTTCCGCCGGAGTTTACAGCCGGTGAACGCAAAGAAGAAGAAGAAGAAGAAGAAGAAGAAGAAGAAGAAGAAGAAGAAGAAGAAGAAGAAGAAGAAGAAGAAGAAGAAGAAGAAGAAGAAGAAGAAGAAGAAGAAGAAGTAGATTCCTAGGCAGCATTTTGAGTGAGAGATGTGAATACACCACACCACTGCCTCTGAACAGAAATGTCACAA